TGTTGAACTTGAGCCTCCAACTCCCATCTGTCTGTCTCCTCTGCTTGGGCAACTTCAGTAGCAGCAAGACTATCTCCTTCTCCTAAATACTTGAAGATCGTAGCTTGGAAACAGTTTTGGATTGTTTCGGCGGTTACTGCCGTCCATGCCGCTTGAATCCACCTCATCGCTTGTAGTTGATTGACAATGAAAACTTTTTCAGCGGGGCCCACGACTTGACCATTCCCGTTTTGGATCATTCCAATGGAACGATACGCCTTTTCCAGCTGTCGTCGTTTGTACTGTGCCTTAAACGACCGAATAATCCCCCCATCGAGAGGTTGGATCACGGATGTCGTGTTGGGAGGCAAGAACAAAAGCTCAACGTTGACAGGTTCATAATCGACATAATGTCCAGAAAAGTTGTCTAGTAGCAAGATCACTTTTCTCTTCCTGGCACCCATGGCTCGATCGAATTTTCTCAGAATCTCTCGGAAACACTTTCTAGTCATCCAAGCCTTCTGATTGACGAAGTATTGCTTGAAGCCATGAAAGGCAGCATCCTTGCGTTTTTTATCAACCTTGAACGAGTCTGGACATACAGCATGACCAATGATAATGGGATCAACCCATTTATCACTACCATCTGCATTGCAAAGAAGCGCGACTGAGAGTCTTGTCTTGTCTTGTTTTCTGCCGCTGAACCCTTGAGTCCCAATTGTTGTCTTCGGCTCCAAGCGATAAAACAAGCTGGTTTCATCAAGATTATAGATATCTTGTTTCTCGTATCGTTCAAGCTTGGCACGGATAGTATCCCTCTGTGCTTCAAGGGCATCAAGGTCTGCTGATTGCGCTTCTCCATGGATGCTATGTGCACTTAGCCCATATCTCCTTGAGAATCGGTCCGCCCAGCCATTTGATGCCTTGAATGCTTGAATTCCAATCAATTCTGCAAAGTTCCGGGCCTTCGTTTGAATCAGGTCCCAGGTTATCTGGATTTTATTTTTTTGTGCACAGTTAATCCAAAGCAACACCGCTTCTTCAACTTGCTATATATGGAACATCATTTCAGATGGACGAAGAGAAACAATAGCTATCAGTACAGTTCAATCAAACATATATTACTACTGCTATATATATACTATATACTCATACTTACAGGATATTGTCCTTTTCTATTGCGCATCCTTTTGGCGTCCCTTTCGTCACCAGGAGCTTCGGTGGATTTTCGCTTGATAATTTTGGAGATAGTGCTCTTGCTAGGGACCTTACTCAAGCGAAACTCCTTTTTGGCATACTCTGCCGCCATCTGCAGTGTAATGCCCTTCTTCGAGCTCTTGTAAGCGACAATCAGATCGCGTTGCTCGTTAGTGAAGGAGACGTACTCACGTAGTGTGGTAGTTGAAGTAGAGCTAGACATTTTGACAACATTTCAATCTTCCAGAAGTTATTCTTTATATACAGTACGGTACTACAGTGTGTCGGGGTGCGCTGGTTCAAAACTTTTATTATACGGTTAAACTTTGTTCCTAAATAGTCCACCCCCTTTAACGTCAACCCCCGTTAGCGTCAACACTTTCAGCTGTACTTGAGGGTTGACATTAAAGGGGGTCCACTGTAGCTCCATATGGTACCTGCCACCTAGAAACATAAATTTTTGGACCAATTTTTGATGTTTTAATACAACTTTGTTTACTTATACAGCCCACTTTTTTGGCTTCATAGAACGATAGAGAGAGGCTCAAAGAGCAATTCTATGAAGCGTTTCTATTTATTAACAGGCAAAAAAAATTGAGAAATAAAGCGTCAAAGTTGGGGTAGATTCGAAAATTTAGCAGATAATTTTGTCAGAATGTACACCCCACCATACCCTAGTGTATGACATTGAATCGGCGATCTCCATGTTAGGAAGGTAGTGTAACATTAGTGATAAAAGCCGGTGCAATGTATACCTCAGCCTTCCGATCAACATTGACTGTAATGGTGTCATGTAAATTATAAGTAGGATGACAAAGTTTTATTGTTCCTTCTTCTTCCAAAACATTCCATACAATGGAGAGACTCAACAAGTGCCAGAAGCACCTTAAAAGCATGCAAGAGTCAAAGAACACACTTAAGTAAATTTCTTGTGCATTCAAAGAGAACTGTCAGTTTTTAAGAATCATTTGAGAGTAGTTTGTTTACATTATGTCAACCTACCCCTCATTACTAGCGTTAATGAACCTACTTGGATACCACTTGTGGATAATGTGAACAAAAGTGAATACAATGAGCTTTTCGATTTCGACGATGAAATGTGGGAGGATACTGCCGAAAGTACCAATCAAGGCGCTGCTGATGCAGAGAACTGGCGGCTGCTTGGAGTTTCTGCAACAACCTTAGTAGATTCTGCCACCAATTTGAGTCTTGAGTGGAGAGATGGTGTCGATGACTACCTTCCAGACTATAGAGGTGTTATTGACTTATTTCTTCTAGTTTGTTTGTTGACTGGGTCATCTTCTTACTGCAGTCGTTTCCAAATACAGGAAATGGCAAAAGACTACACAGCGCCGTCGTAGAAATGCAAGAGAGCTCGCTGCATCAGGTAAAAAGCATCGAAAAATAATAGAGTTCTTTGCTGCATCATCGACCACCGATCCATCGTCATTGTCAGCTGCAGATGAAGCCTTGATCGTTCTCGAAGATCAGTCGCTAATAAAGGAGAGACATGCGGCTTTGCAACAACTGATGCAGACCAGCTGAAACCAGCAGTCGCCATCAGGCCAAATGAAGCCATACGATGTCCTACGGTACAATTGTGTCTTGCAATTCCTGGGATATCTAATCGAGCATCAAGGCCAAAAGAAACTAAAAATCGTCGAATCTGAAAGAATTGCGAAACAATTAGGTGGTGGTTCCATACAGTATTTGGGTCAGGCAATGAGATCGTGAACCAAATCATATGTTCTCACTAGCAAAGTAACTGCTCATCGCCAAGGCAAGCATTCCAAGCGAATTTTTCTGCTTGCCGATGAGGATATCAAGCTTGCAATTTACAAGTGGATCAAAGAGCAGCCCCCACAGCAAAGAGAAGTGGAGCTGATCAAAAAAAAATTGCAAGAAGATATCATCCCACGAAAGCTCGGTGTGCTGGTGTCGATTGGTGTACGAACAGTTGCAAGAGCTTTGCACTTACGGGGATACAAATTCCGAAGAAATATGAAGAATGTACGTATGAATGCTTTTTACCATTTGACTATCTATATGCATTGAAAGGATATATTGGTTGAACGAATTTATAAGTTGAGTGGATGTACAGATCGAGCAGATATTGTAGGCTGAGCTCAAATTCTTTTATAGGTTTTTTAGAATGGTCACGAAAGAGATGATGTGGTGAAATATAGAAAGGAATGGACCAAGAGAATACTGACATACGCCAAAATATGGTCACATACACCGGCGAGAGTATGGCAATCGAGTATGTTCCGGACACTGTACGTAATGGCGATACCCGTTATGTGCTAGTTACACACGACGAATGCATTTTCTACTCGAACGACGGTGTCAAATCTGCATGGTTCACTGAGGAAGAAACCGTTTTGACACCTAAAAGTCAAGGTCAATCAATAATGATTTCTGATTTTATGTGCTCCTGCCATGGATCGTTGAAGATTGATCCAGATGATGAAAGATTTGGTGATCTCCAATTCAAGGAATCCAAAGCAATCTTCTATCCTGGCGCGAATAGGGACGGCTACTGGACTAGCATGAATATGGTGAAGCAATTACGCGAGCGAGCCATCCCGATCTTCAATGCACTACATGGAGACGTTTGCATTGGTATGTGCACGTGAAGGGAGAATATTATATATTACTTGATTTTGAGTTTTTAACGATCGTAAGTAGCTGTTTTCTGCTTCGACCAGAGTAGCAATCATAACGCGTTTGCACCAGATGCGTTATGCGTTAATAGAATGAGTCTGCATCCCACAGACGCGGGTGCCGATCCTAGCAACCATTTAAGTCCGGATGGTTTTATACCGAGCTCTCCGGGTATGTGAGGGTACCAAAGCTGCAAAACATGTATCTCAAAGATGATAATGGACAACTGAAGTTCAAAGGCATCAAAATAGTAAGTGATCATATTTTTTTTAGCTTGAAGTTAATGCCGATATATATGTTTCCTGTGCACCAAGATCTTGTCCTGTATCTATCATTCATAAAATGGTTTAGATCTTGCAAGAGCGTGGCGCATGGATTCCTGGTCTATTGTTGACATATAAGAACAGCCCTGGTACTCTGATAACCGCTGTTGCGCTCGTCATCTTCTTAGGTCCCATCCTGATTTTCGGAGACAGGCGACAGCTCTTGCAGAAACTGTTGAAAATGCTGGCCATATATTCGATCTGTACCCCAAGTTTCATTGCGAATGCAACTTTATTAAAAGATACTGGGGTGCTGTAAAGAGAATTGCCAGGGAAGAATGTATTATAGCTTCAGATCCCTCTCCCAAAAACATTACACAACATTCCTTTAGCTATGATACGTCGCTTTGAGCGAAAAGTATGGCGTTATATTGACGCATATGAGAAAGGACTCACTGGACGAAAAGCAGAAAAAGCAGTGAAATAATATAAATCCCGCCGGCGAGTTTTCGACATTGATGATCTCACAGACGAAGAATAAATATCGCTAGCTAAAAACAGAAGTTTATAGAGGCGGAAATTAAAAATTTTGAAATGTCCACTTGTCGTTTCTAGGTGGCGGGCACCATACCAGCACGATTTGTCTTAAAAGTGGAGTCGATATGGTACTCTTCTATATGAACACAACCAGCTAGAGGGGAAAAAAAGGAGTAACGAAACCCACAGCAACAATATTATCAGCAGTGTCAGAGTAAATCTATTTTTTACTCATACAATAAGGCAAAAACACTACGTTTTTCTATATACTCTACTTAGAGCATCCCCAACGGTCAGTGACTCGTGGAATTTGGCAAGTGAAAATAGAAAGTGGAGTGTAGTTCCTAGCTAGAGGGGTTTCTCCGCTACTCATCACTTTTGTAGCCTCTGAGACCAATTCAATGATCCCTAACAGTTCTACAACTACTTCAACTCCTGCTCCTCCATACCCAAACCTCGAAGATGGTGATGGCTACTCAACGTCCTCCAGGTAGCTCCCCCAAACCCATATGGGCCAACGTGGTTTGCAACCAATGACGCACCCTCTTCACCGAGGAAGGATTCAATAAACAACAACGATCCCACCAAGCTACGGCTATCTTGGCTTGGGTGCTTAACGCCAATGCTGTCATTTTTGACTTCACCACCGACCTTCCATCCAAAGCAGCTGCTTATGCAGAAATCAAAAAGCTTGGTTTGGTGTTAGGTGCCTCCACTATCCCTCGCTCTCGCAATCCCAGGGATATGCTTATTGAAGTTCGTTACAAACACGAAGAGTCCATTGACTGGGCTATTTCAGAAGGTGTTATGTATCACAACATTAATTATCGTGCCACCAGAGCCATATCCGTGGACTCCGACATAATTAAGGTTAATCTTCGTCAGTTACCATTTATTGAGGAGCATATCCTCCAAGCGAGTATTCGAAACACGGTGCAGGACTATGGACGTGTATGTCAAATAAGTCTCTATGGCAAACCAACAACCAGCATCTTCAAAGGAGAAACCACCCCAGACCCAAATTATTTGCCCATATTCGGACGCCGTACGGGCCTCTACAAGCTCTACGGAACATACCCTGTGGCCTCTGTGGTGTCACGCCGTGCACACCGTAGAAATTATAGTATGCTCAGCCTACCATAGCACCAGCTTTCTCCCTTCTTTTTCTCAGAATAATTCTCACTACATTGCGTCCTCCATTTCGAAAATGAGCAACCAGGAACCCCAACCAGAGCAGTCAAATGCTTCCAACAACAAATATTACCGCCCTAAGGGAACCAAAAAGTGGTCCACTTGGAACGCGTTAACTCACTTCCTTTCTCAAAATAGCACTGACGAAGAGCGAGAAGGTTTGCTATTTTGTATATAGGTAAAATGAGAATTTTTACTTATCTAGTATATAGAATGGGAAGATATTATCAGACAGTATAACGATGGAGAGTTGACAACGACAACTGCTCAACTGGCTGCGATCTGTGCTCGCATGAACGAGGAGCACCAGAAAAAGCTTGAAGAGAAGGTCAAGCGCATGAACCATATGATGGAGCAACCGGCTCCTATGGATCTAGATGTTCGTCAGCAGCTTGGGAGAGCTTTCAGACGCGAGATCATATCGGTTAACCACCGTGCTAGCGTGGCCATGGGATGGAATGTCGGCACGCTCATGTCTCCCCAGTTTGAGACCGATTGGATGCTTACTACACCTATAGTCTCATCTAGTATGTAAAGTAGTAAATATGTTTTTAGAAATGCTCATATTCAAGGTTCTAATACCAACTATTAAGAGGAAGCTCAGAACGCATTGAATAAGATTGAATGGCGTCTAAACTTCCATCGACATTGTCAAGGTTAATACTACACTGTAATAGTAACATCTTATTGAGAAAAAGGATTATTTATTTATTGACTTTTCTTAACAACAATCTGTCACTATAGGAACAACAGGCGGTAACTATCGCTAACACATCATAGCATTGTTAAAAGGAGCTACTAATGTATATTATTCGTTTTCGCCAGGCCCTCGTTTGACCAGAAAGCCTACCAAAAAGAAAAGCACGGTTAAGGACCTCATGATTGAACTCTGTAGTATGTTACAAGCAGTGCCTGCATTGCAGTTATCAATGTATTAATACTTGTAAATGAATGTATGTAGACAACGAAGTCGACAAAAATTTGACAAAGTTTCCGTGGAAAAGTTTCAAGAGGGTGTCAAACGGTGGGATAATTCGCTACAGAAATGAAACATTGGGGTGCGAATTCACGGGTTTTGATTTTGGCGAAAAGGCAGATACTGCTTTGTGCCCGAGTGACATACCGTATAAGAGATGGTCAGAGCTGTATGATGCCCTTATCAATGGCCAAATTAGTTTTGAAAAGCTTTAAATTAAATGGTTTAGCACATTTTAAAAAGTTGCTATTGATAAAAGAGACATATTAGCATCCAATAGGTATGTTAGTTCATTTATTAAATTACAGATCATGATTTTACTGTGTAAGACAGAGTGATCTGCGCTAGGGGACATGTGGTCGTTCCTTGACAAGCAAGGATACTATACATATACAAAGAATATGAGGCCATAACTGAAAAAAACCGCATAGAACAAAAAGAGTTAGACGGTGTGGTGGTAGATGGGTAGAGGTGGAGCGAGAATGATGAAATTATTAGGAGGCTTTCTTCATGCAATTTGGAATGTCCACAGTAATACTTTTAGAAAGCAAGGAAATTTGAAACAGTTCCTAGCATCCGAGCATTTTTACCCTATTACATAACGTACTTCTGTGTACAAAATAAATTGTGGATTAGGGGATCGTCATAAAAAATTACAGGAAAAAAAGCTTTCCTCAAGCGCGTGGTACTTTTTTGTCAAGTTGCACGTTTACTGAGCAATAAACAGAAGTGATCAACTTAATATGTGTTGCAATATAAATATAGAGAACTGAGATGAAAAATTATCTTTTGAAGGTTCTTAGCTACAACGTAACAAACAACAGACCGCACCATCTTATTAGCACTAGATCATGAGTTTTAACGATCGGTTCAACGAAGACGACGCCATGGACCTAGTGGAATCCACGATGTTGAGCGATGGGAGAACGAGAACGAAAAGCCGCAAAGTGTATGCTGGTGACGATGCAGTTGTAGCTTCTGCTCCCACTATAAGAGATACGCGTCAAAATTCACAGCATGATCAATTAGGTAACTGATTCGCATGTAAGCACACTAAATCTTTGCTTAATATAACATATACTTTGTAACGCGAAGATCACGGAGAAACCGATGATCTCGACTATGGTGACGGTCCTGGTAGCGCTTTTAATGAAGGCTTGACAGTGTTTCGTCTGAATGACCATGACATCGAAAAACATAAAAGGAGATTGGAAGCTCTTGATGAAAACTGGTCCGAGGTCTTTAAGGTGCTACCGAAAGACTATGTAAAGTGCAGGGAAAGTAGCGACTATAGTCTGGCCGATACGACTCCGTTTTTTCGACGCGCGCTGCACTACATGCGATAAAACAAAGGAACGGGAGATCCTTTGCGTTTTCATTACCGGTAACGCATTACGTTGCATTAATAATTACCAAACATACTGTGATATGGACAACTGCTAAAACATTCCTATAAATGCCGTCCAAAACATACGAAACAGGCATTAAAAGTTATAAAATACCATTCTGTGAATGTAAATCAGACGCCTCAACCCTGCTTTACCATCACTTGTTTCCGTCATCTCCCGCCTCGCCGAGGACAGCATTTCATCTCCCATTGCTTGATTTCTATTACGCGCTTTTGGCTGAAGGTCATTTAGCAGCACAAGCCTTTGGAAATGCTTGCTCTTATGTGCACAAGTTTGAGGTACTGTTACTGCTAATAGAATAATCAGATGATAACACAATGGAGCGAAATCACTTATCATAACAGTTATTCTAATGTATTATATATACATTTGAATTTTATGGAATAAAGAATCCTGATAGAATTCGAAAGACTTTAGGAAATGCACATACAGCATACATGGAGCTGAAAGAAAAAGTGACGGATGAAATGGTTAACGAGTTCAGCAATATTACTCCAATGGAGCGAGATGCGTGTCCGGCTTGTCCCAAGGTCTCCTTCTCGTTTTATAATTCAGTGCTGTCATGATATTTTGATGAGCTAATGACTCAATATACAATTTACACAGGAAGGAAAACTGTTCGTCGCAGTCGATGGCAACATGCAATTGCGACGACGCAAAGCACATGCAAATGACACAAAAAAAGCTGAAGCAGCGACGTTTTTCTCGGCTGATAACATGCATGACGTTTACGAAAAGCATGAAGTCATCAATGCCGTCAATAAGCGTTGCGAGAGTGAGCTCAAAGCTGTTACGTCCGTTTCTGCTGCTGTCGAGAAGTTCTATGAAAGTGGAATAGTAGGCTGTGTATGCGGCAGACACAATGTCCCACTTCAGTTTACGAATATCTTTGCTTCTGGTGAAAAGTAATTTTAATGCTTTTTACATGCATGCAGTCTATAATCCCTAGCGTATAATATGCACTTACATGTTGAGCTTTGTATAGGTACAAATATGCTCTATCTGTGCTTGCTGTTGCCACTAAGGGATACAAAGATGTCAATATTTTGTATGATCTTGGTTGTCGCTTTGGACCATCATTTAAGGTATTTTGCCGTGTCTAAGAATATCATCGCATCCGGTAAACAAATTGATCTTTAATTACTTATGCACCATTAGCAAGCATTTCCCAATTTTGCTCAAGCTGGATCACAGATGGCCGTCTCCGTTTTCCATGCATACGCCCATTCAATGTCTTGCCAGGTCGATTATCATCCACGATTCATAAGCGGCTTTGGACTGACAGATGGAGAAGGACTTGAGCGTCTTTGGTCCTACCTTGGAGGATTTGTCTCAATGACTAGACAAATGAGCGCCAAGAGACGTCTGTTCGTTTTACAGCATGCGATTGGTCATTCGAAAGCCAAGACTATAATCAATATGTGTATGCATGATTTTAAATGAAGTTATAAATGATTGCGTGATACTCATAATAGTACCGATAGGTTACGCGCTTAAAAAACGGACGAAAAGGGCAAAGGCAATCATCAAACAAGCGTCTGCATACTTGCGACACAGAGCTACCCTTGTAGCTTCCGGCGGTACGCCATGCTGGTGGTGGAACGAGGACGGGAAGATAGATGAGCTCAGATTCGAAGAAGAATGGAAAGATCGTACTATATTCACTGGTGTCAAATCTCTATCAGTAAAAATACAGTATTATGAAGAACTAGAACATTTTTACGCGGTTGAGTGAGTTTACAAAGTGTTTTTGTAGAGTGCTGTAAAATACTTAGACAACTAATCCATTCGGAAAACATCATTAGAGCGGAGCGCATTACTTTATCGAGGGAGCTTCAAGATCCAGATAAATGTGCCAATATGACTATGGCGGAAGCAGGTATGTATAACGATTTTCACTCCCTTTCGTTTATGCGTATTAAGCTATTGTTATCATCAATAGACGAGAAATTTAGATTGCTTCGAAAGGTCTCAAGAAAGCTCGAGATCGCTGAAGACAATGTTACCAGAATTGAAAGGGTGCTAAAGCCTGAACGAAGATGGCAGATAAATAGCACAGAATACGCAAGCGCAAAAGAAGCAAAAGCAAAGCGAGAAAAGGAAGATAGCCTGTATAAACTAAAATCACATATAATCTCGCGTAAGATGATGTATGATCAGCTGCGTAATCGAGAGGGCAAAATAGGTATTGTATATCTGTTTTTTGAAGTGTAAAAATGAGAAAGCGCTGCTGATGGATATAATTAATTAATTATGAAACAGGCGAAAGAGTAAGCACGAAAGTTAGAAGCGCAATCAAGAAACGAAGCACTGCAGCTGAAAAGCAATTGAAGCTATACAATGCTGCTTGCCATCTGTTGTTGGAGCCTGAAGTCCAGTGGGAGGATGTCTGTCATATAGAGACATGATTTTGGGAACAGCACCATATAGCAGAAAGCAACGACGTCGACGTTCTCAGAGAGATTATGAACATTAAGCGCGCCGAGGAAGAGCTGATGATGATCGAGGTTAGTGTTATGGTACTTCATTGAAACTCCATACTGTGATCTCAACTTTCCACTTAGGACGAAGAAAAGAATCTGGAAGCATACGCTGCAGCACGTTATAGCGCCATTCAAGATGCCATAGAGGCGACGCATGACGATGGGTGGCAAGCTATTCTTGGTGATCTTTTGGAACAAGCTGAACGTCTCCAATGTAATATCAGAAGCAGCAAACCGCGTACTGTTGGTGAAATTTCACAGATCGACAACGACGAACAATACGGTGACGATGCGGACGATGAATATGACGAAGACGTTTACTTTGTCCATGCTGAGACATATGAGGATATTGAGAAGTAACATGACGAGCTGATGTACGAGTATATGCCGCCAGTAGATTATACTATGCCTGACGAAGATATTTCTCTGCCAGATGCAGTACTTTCAGAAGAGACACTATAGAGCCAGCAATGTATATACGCCGTTGTAAATCAAGAGCTCTTTTATAATCCTTATTATGCTTACTTATACATTGTATGTTATTAGACCTGTTATGCGAATATGATTTTTATTATGTGTAATAAGCACCTATTCTGTTACTTATTTTCTCAATACTGCGTTGAGCGTTAATCCTCATAATTTAAATCAGATATATATTTATAATACTGTAAGCTACCAGAAAAAGATGCTCTGGTTGGGGTTCCTGGTTGCTCATTTTCGAAATGGAGGACGCAATGTAGTGAGAATTATTCTGAGAAAAAGAAGGGAGAAAGCTGGTGCTATGGTAGGCTGAGCATACTATAATTTCTACGGTGTGCACGGCGTAACACCGCAGAGGCCACAGGGTATGTTCCGTAGAGCTTGTAGAGGCCCATATGGCGTCCGAATATGGGCAAATAATTTGGGTCTGGGGTGACAGAAACAAACTGAGGCGGAGCTTTTGGACTCCTTTTGACATACCACCAGCAACCCCACCGACCCCAGAGCCACAAGAACACGACAACACTAGACCACAACACGTAGCCTCCAAAACAACTGTCGACCACGACTCCATTGACACCTAGGCTCTCTTCTCTTCTCAGGAAGAACAGGTTGGCAACACCTCTGAGTCGCCCACACCAAGCAAGGATCATCCTATGACAAAAGCAGGACAAAAAGAGCAGGATGACCAGCCCAACGACCATCCAACAGCAAAGAAACAAAAGACATCAGCGCATCCACAGCAACTCCAGGCCCACACTAGCTCGCACCAGACTTCCATGGATTCCGGTTCTGCGTCGCCGCCACCCTACAGTGGTGGTATTCTGCGTTCAGAATAATGATAAAAACCATGCTCGAATTGCCTCCTTGAACAGGCGCAGCGTTTTAAAGGGGGCTAACCAATCTGCGCAATCCGAATTCATCGCACACCTACGATCTAAACATCTCGACGTCGATATACTTGCACTCCAGGAAGTATCACACACACATTCAAATACACTATCTGACACTGATCAAACTCTTCTTACCCGTTTATTTCCCCGTTCCTCTTCTTGCTTTACAAAATATTGTGGCCTAGTTTGCCTCAACCCTTCTTATACCTTATCTAATACCTATGTGACAACTGGTCAATGTTGTATTATTTCTGATATTTGTATGTCACAAGGGGCTCTGTTTCGTGTAGTGGTGGTTTATGCCCCGGCGGAATCTCAGAGTTTTTCTCTTCCCTTCTTGCCTTGCCTTGCTTCACAGAGTTTTCTGAGACTAGTGTCATAGTGGGCGACTTCAACTTACATCTGGCGCGCCAGTTACCAGCTCCTCTCCACCCGTGGGGTCAATTTCATCGCGATAACTGTGTGAACTGTCTTTACTTCGACGATAGTGACACACTGTTGCCACAGTCCACTGCACCTACGTTTACATAGGGGACTATGAGAACCACCATCGACTATATTTTTGCGGCCTGGCCTCTTCAACACCGTGTTGTTAGCAGCGATCAACTAATGCTGTCACACCGCTGGACCATGACATGCTGATTGCCGACCTACGTTTAGACCAAATAACCTGTGGGCCTGGGACCTGGAGATTCAACCCCTCCTTCTCGATCAGGCAACCTTCTGCTCGCTCTTAAACACGACAGTTGATCTCATGCTATCTCAGCTGTCGAACTCCTCTCTTCCTGTGCACGATCAGTGGGATCACTTCAAAAGGGTCTTGAAAGGAAAATGCCCTTCAGTTCAGCTGCAAACATAGCCGTACCATCAAACAACGATTGCAGCAACTACAGCGCCAATGACGGGATCTCCAAGCGCTGCCTTCTTTACTGCCCCCGTTGAACAAGAGATTGCTGAACTCTAGGAGCAACAGACTCGTCAGTTGTTACTGCGCACCGCCACTCGCTGGCATGAGCATGGTGAGCGTAATAACAAGTATTTTTACTGGGTACTTCGCACTCGTCAAACAGCAACTACCATCATGCAACTTTGTGATCGAACCAGTGGTGCTCAGGCATCTGATAAAGAAAGCATCCTCCGAATGACGCACGACTTCTACACAAGGCTATTCACGCCCGATCGCGTTGAACAATCCGCCATCACTAGACTGTTGTGCAATGTTCCGTCCTCAGCAGTACTTTCTAACGTACAACGTACGCGTCTCACTACGCCCTTCACCCTGGCTGAGTTGCTTTCGACGCTCGAGCACACCCCTAGGAAAGAGCCCCGGCTTGGATGGTATTCCCTTCGAAGTCTACCATCATCTAAAGGAAAAACCTAGTGTTATGTCCTTGCTACTATTAGTCTTGAACCAAGCACTACAAGAAGGCCAGTTTCCACAATCTTGGCTGGGAACTAAGATGGTCCTACTGTTCAAAAAAGGTGATCCCCAACTGCTACCAAACTGGCGCCCTCTGTCGCTGATCAACATGGATGCCACGTTGTTTACGAAGATGATGGCCAATCGCTTGCAACCACTGATGGCTCAACTTATCAACGAACACCAAACTGGCTTTTTTAGCGAAGAGATTGATATCTGATAACGGATGGGTGGTACAAAACATCATGAATCATGCGCGCCAGGTGGCGCCTGACAACCCGTCAGTTGGGGTCCTATTGGACCAAGAAAAAGCATACGACCGCATACACCTGGAGTACCTACAGCAGGCAATGGCAAGTTTTGGTTTGCCCCCTTCTTTCACCTCTTCTATTTTATCTTTATTCTTTTCCACTTCTATTTCTATTTCCGTTAATGGCTGGCTCACTGAGCTAGTCCATCAACACTGAGGTCTGCGCCAAGATGATCCACTTTCTCCTTTTCTTTTTAATATCATATTGCCTTTGAACCCTTTTTACGTACCCTGCTTTCCGACCCCCTTCTACCTGAATCATTCTTGGCCCCTCTAACCGAACCTAGATGGAACCGTCGCGCCCATTTCCATCAACAGCCGCCCTCATGCTCTGGTCCTCCCATCAAACTTATGGCTTACGTGGACGACTTGCTAGTCTTCTTGAACAACCCAGCCAAATGGCAGCGCCTTATGTCCCACTTGGAGGCTTATGGACAAGCATCTAATGGCTGGATCAACCTACAAAAAACCGAAGTATTCTCTCTCTCGGGTCGTAGTCACGCTACCTGGCATACGACCCTGCAACCAGCTGGAGTCTGATGGCACGATCAAACGTCCCCTACTGCTGTCACATACCTGGGCTATCCTCTCTACAGCACTGACACTCAACTGATGGATTTTCTGGACCACCTCTACAGCAAAATTGAGAATCAGATCCGCCTTCTCAGCCAACGACGACTATCGATATTGGGCAAATTCATGATAGCTAACTCACTACTATTATCTCGTCTGTAGCATGTGCTGCGGGTCTGCATAGTGCCTAAAGCTTGGTTACGCAAATGTACAACACTAGTACGTAAATACGTTTTGTCCTTTTTTCCATATCCGAAATGGAGCCATGCATGTGCACCGAGGATTGAAGGTGGCCTCGGCATTGTCGATCTACACACCCAATATGCAGCTCTACACCTCGTATATATACAACGTTTGTTTACCAGCAGCACGAACTCGACAAAACGTACCTTCATTGCATCATTCATACAGCAGCTCCTACAACTATATACCGGGCAGCCATCGCCATACACCATGCTCGTGTGTCACTCTCAGCTCAAACGCTTATGCTCTCCCTCGCCTAATCTCGTTCATCTTCTTGACTTACTCGACAAGCTCCCCTCGTTCACAATTCCTACCAACACCCCTATTTCGGCCGTCATGGACCTGCCCCTTTGTAGCGTCCTGTCACCCACCACTTCCGACCCGGCATTCGCCAAATTATCTTTTAAACACCTGGTGTCTGATGCTTATCAGTGGTCTCCCACCGATCGCCAGCTTCATCTCGCCCGTCGTCCCCGCCAGCCGATCGCTATCACCACCGCTCTCACCCAGGTACTCCAAGGACAGTGGCAGCTACATCCAACGATCGAACGTGCTCTTCATTCGCAGTCTGATCCACGGTATGCCTCCAGTTGTATGAACTTGACCCACTGGTCATTACCCCCACAACACCTTCGTCCTCACACCCACCGCCAAACGCACGCCTCCCTCGACCGATTTTTATCCTACATATCGGCCCCGGCTGCTTAAGCCGCCACTGGCATACACAGGCAGTCGCTTCATCCTCTTCCACGGCAATTATTACCGCTCTACAACCACCGGATTGGCGCCTTTTCTGGCGCTCGCGCTTACCACAGGGCTGCCGCACTGCCTGGTGGCGCCTGCTGCCTGATCAATCGACTCTCCAATAAGAAACACCTGCACCGTATCTTCGTGGCAAAGCATCCGACCACCACTTGCCCATTATGCGAACTCGAGCCCGAGTCGCTCCGACACTTTGCTTTGGATTGTCCATTGAAGACAACCTTTTGGCTTGATGCGTTGCGGACCATACACGCCCCACCTTCGGTTACTTTGGACAATATATGGGATACTCTTCACATGCGTTTTACTTCCGCCGACAGCTTCTGTGCGCGCAACATGGCAAAAATAGGACTAATATTCCAAACGACTTGGGCCATACACTGGCATTCTGTCTTAGATCAGACACCTTGGAACCACACTATAGCCATGAACCATCTTATCTCCCTATTAGCTCGATACACATTTCTATCATCACCTGTTAATGTTGACTCCACCAATAATATTAGGGCATAGAGCCCCTAATTTAAATAAACATCTTTCATACAGAAAAAATTATTTCCTGGCTAAATTTGGCCAGACGATCCAAAGTAAAAAGAAATTGTTACATTTATTTCGCAACATGGATTCCAACACGCGTTTCGACGAAGCATCTGATGCCTCTATTAATATTCTTTTTCCCCTACTCCTTCCCCTACCAGCATGGAGCCAATTTCGGCTACTGCTTCTGGGGAGAAGCATCTTCTTCAACTGCTCCTCCATCGCGTTCCCGACCTAAGAACCACGAGCCCAACTGGACTGATCCAGAAGATGAGCAGCTTTGCACATCTTGGATTAGAATCTCGGAACGGCAGATACCAGACGTATGACGATTTCCGGATTGATGTTTACGAAGACTACACCGCCAATCAGCCAGTTTCTACTGAGCGCAATGTTGGTGGTATGCAGTCGCTTGTTTTCGAACATCCAGAAAGACGTCTCCAAATTCTGTGGGTACATGAGTAAATTTGAAAACCGCAGTGGAGACAACGACTTTAAAAAGGAATTTCCTACGTGTAAAAGTTAGCAACGGCCAATAATATCTGCTCGGTTGTACATGAAACTAAAAGGTGTAAAGCTTCTGGATGCGAAGGAAGCTTATAAGATCACTGAGCGTAAAACCTTCACAAAGGAAAAGTGTTGGATGATTTTGAAGGATCACCCAAAATGGCAAAATGTCTTGAACAAGAAGGGAAATGCCGATAGCAAGAAGCTAAGTGGCAAGGGCAAGGGCAAGGGCAAAGCAGTTGCCGTTGATCTGGACGGCTCTTGGCGACGAAAAGAGCACTGGCAGTCGCCCTGCGAGAGTGTAGCAGGAGAAGGAGCATGATGCGCGTAAGCGCAAGCTAGAAGAGGCGCTCAAGATAGATCGCATGTTGGCTGAAGAATCACGCAAGTGCTTCGAGATAATGATCGGGGAGATCCAAGACAGAATCCTTGGCAATCAAGGCATCAATGGCATGCAAGGCGAGAATGGAGGAGAAGAGGAAGAAGAAAGACAAGAAGAAGAAGGAGAAGAAGGAGAAAACTAATAAATTACGTTATATCCAAACAACGAAGCAATGAAATGAAATGTGTATTAATCTTCTTCCCCGTGGCGCTGCCATAAGTGTTCAAATACGATCCTCCTTCAACTGCGTATGTAAACGAGAATCTTGGATCTCTTGATAACAACCAATGTAGTCTCTTACAATTAAGGTAGTCAGTTGCGATCCGATCACCGTAGAAGACGAGTTGTTGTTTCGTCTACAGGCACGCCGCATTTCCTCCTCATCACGTTCATCCTCAACGATCATATTATGCAATATGATGCAAGCTCGCATGACATCTTTAAGATCTTCAATGCTCCTCAAGCGGGCAGCATCTTTGACGATACTAAAGCGGCTTTGTAGTACCCCAGGCAATTGTAATTAGGTGGTTTGTTTATTAGATATGCTATGGAATCACTTTTCTGATAATAGAGGAGTTATGTATATACATGTATATGCTAGGAGCATATTATATTTACAATTTTACTTTATTGGATATTACATGTAAGGTGCCCAACCTATTTATGTATATAACATATACAGACGGTAAACAATGTTAGTCATCATAAGGTCAATAGATCAGAAACAGATGGGAGACGTGTATCTATACTTTACCGACAAACATTTGACTCAGGTTCTCATTCGAGGAGGCTAAAGCAATGAGTCTCGTAACTTCACCATGAATGGAGCGGCCGTTGTGAATCTTGTTATCGATTCTTTTTATTTGTTCGCGGGTGACCGAAAGCACGCTCCACATCCTTTTCTTGCCGCTTCTTGCTTTTTGGCAAATAACTATATAATTTGACATTAGACTCAATATATGGTTGGCAAGTTCACCGTTCTTAACTAGCTTTTGCTTTTTGCCTAATGGCCGCGAGATCGTTTGCACCAATGTTGTCCATTTTGAATATATACCGTCAGCAGGATAATATCCCATATGGCACTCGTTGCCTTTATTACTGACGTTGACCGCCGGGGCACGTCCTTCGGCAAGCTCCTCAAAGAGGGGTGATCTGTTGATCACGTTGATGTCATTCAGGGCTCCAGGACAGCCGAAAAACGCGTGCCATATCCACAGATCGTACGATGCAACAGCTTCGAGAATCACTGTGGGTGCTTTTTCTTTGCCGGTGTACTGTCCAGCCCATGCTGTAGGACAATTCTTCCATTCCCAGTGCATGCAGTCAAGTGATCCGAGCATGCCAGAAAATCCGCGTTCCTTGTTTTCCTGCAACAGTCTCTCGACATCTGTTGCTTCCTTCAAACAGCTCAATAACGTCTCTGCAAAAGAACTTGAGGCATTCGAATGCGGTACTTTCACCCATGCGAAGATATTCGTCGGACGCATCCGCAGTTGTCCCGTACGCTAATTGTCTTATGACAGCCGTTACTTTTTGGATGGGCGAGAACCCAGGTTTGCGTGCCGCGTCGAGCTTTTGCTTGAAGAAGTCATCGTGAGCCTCTACTGCATTGACGATTGTAAGAAAAGATCACGACTCATTCGGAAACGCCGTCGAAACTTCTTTTCTGGGTAAACAGGGTTTTCAGTGAAATAGTCCTTCATGAGTTGTGCATGACCCTGCACACGATCGCGATCAATATAGGCGCCGTCCAGGAACAGAACCACGTAATTCCAAAATATTGCTTTCTTCTTCGTCTTGAGTTTGCTTCCAGCGTTTGCGATTGCATTCCCAGAGTGAATTAAACTCTTCCTCTTCAGCAAATATTTCGTTTATTTTGCGAGTATTGAGCACTGTAAATAGATGACTTTTGTTGAAGAGAAAAAAGAGGCAACTTTAGGAAATTAGAAAGTTCGGAATCCAATAAATTTAGCAAGTGGGATTCAAAGTACCGCTGGGATGCTCTAAGCAAAAACAGGTCTACAGAAGGTGAATTCTGTTTCCTGTATTGATCTACTTACCTCCGTATATCCTTGATTCATATACTGCTGTACCAAGAGCCGGGAGGAAACAAACTGGTTATCGTGTAGCATATACCGCGTACGGAACGTCTCGCCCCACCAGTAATACACCTGTGCCGCCGTCGCCGCATGATAGTCCCATTCATCGATGATTATCTTTATGAATATCTGGCGTTGAACGAGTCATTGCACGTGCTGCAATGAAGTCACGCACCTCACGCGATACACCTTCCGGGCGTGGAGCTGGAGCGGCTGCATGTTGCGATAGATGGCGAACAGTAAGCTCGATCGCTCCGAGATCCCGATCGATCACACTGTGCACAAATCCTTGACAATTGAATGTTTCCATCCGTTGGATGACACGTTGGCGCTCACGAACAGGGATCTAACATATAAAATTAATCCGATTTCAACGAAACTGCACGCAAACACTTTGCCTATCGGTTCCTTTTTATTGAATGCCTTTTTGACCGGTTGATTAGCTTACCTGATTTTGTATATCTACAGATTGAACGCATCTTGCGGTGAATGAAATGGCTTCATGAAGTACTGGGTCGCCAGTGTTCATTACATGATATCTGTAGTTGTCACAGAGCTGCACTGCTTCCAACACACGTGTGATTATACGCTGATCTGACCAAGTGCGCATTTCATCCTCGTAAACGATGTAGCCCGAAAAAGAGAAGACCTCAGTAACGACATCACCAACTGAATTACGGACAGCAAAGGGATAAAAGTTTCTCAACTCGTCATTGAAGATCATTGAGTCGAGTGAAACTGGCATTCTCGGTGTCTGTCTGTCACGACAGACAATGCACGTCCTGTACGGTCTTGTTCTACCGGCAAAAAGGGCAAACGGTTTCGTTTTTCTGCAACCCGTGCAGTAACGATCGGGATCACCAAGCAATTCCACAGCTTCGGTAATGGGACCGGCAGCATTAGTAGAGTTGTTTAAAGACATGGCAAGAATAAAGGCGCGATGCAAAAAGGGAGGAGAAGAAAGGAAGAGGGGACCCTTGTAAACGAACAAGCCCTAAATAATTAGATGCTACGTTTTTTTTTTGCTTCGGCTAAAAGAGTATCCGACATTTCTGCGTGAAATCTTGTAAACGCCTATAACAGTGACGTAACTACGTTATAGTCCCAATAAGAAGAATCTTTGTTTTGTCAATAAGCGCGCCTTCATCTATAAAAAGTCACAGACGCGCATTTTCTCACAAAACCAAAGTTTCATCTACGAAATTGTTTCTAGAATTTATTCTGGAACAGATGTACAGTACAACTATTCATGTATGCTTCTTTGTGATCGCTGGAATCCATCAAGTTTAATCGGTTTGATCAGCAACCGAATTATAAAAGAGCACGAACCTGTTCGTTATATGGTCTCAAAAGCATCGTCCATGTTAAACAGACATCGACGTCCCTGTCAGCCAACCGTCCTTATATGCGTTTACACGTTATGTTGTCGACTTAGGCCTGATGGTATTATGCATTACAGCTTCACATCCAAGGAAGAGGCAGTGATAAATTTGATGCAGCTTTCTCTCCCTCGGCCATTTTGATAAAAGTTGCACATAGCGCAAGATGCAATGAGAAAGGCACTGAAGACATTTCGTTATTATGCGTCTGCTGCTGACATTGAGCTCTTTTCTTTGATGATCACATATATAATGATGGTCAACTTACGATTGTCCAGCAAAGAATGAGCTCTACCGAAAATAAACCTGCAGTAATCTGTTGCTTTTTTATCTGCTGGCTCTATTGTTGTCTATCGTTTGCTGCTAATAAATTATATGGCATGACATTTTAGGCAGAAACGTATCTCGATCTTGCAAAGGAAAAAGCTGATTTTACATTTTAAAGGTAGAGCGATCTCCGTTCCTTAGCGAGCAATGTAGCTGATAGTACATACTATGAAACTATTACTACCTTATCTGCCTTATCTTGGATATACTGTACCTAACTGACTTTGGTTGAGATTGCTTGGCTGGTGCTGTTTGTTGACGACAGACCGGTATTTAAATCTGCTGTTACTCATCAACAGCCATTTCTATTAGCGCAAGGGAGTCTTTTATTATCATGAGCTGCTTACACAAGATATTGACTTGTAGTTGTCAAATCATTTGGTAGATGAACCAAGTGAACGAGTTGACATGACAGGAGTTGAAGGCAGACTAGGATAATGAAAACTTCGATAGATGGCATACTACTGAAGAGTGATTATATAAAGCGTACTTGGGCGTTAGTAGTGCCTTTTTAGCATCAGCCGTTCATCAGCATTAGATTACAACTGTGATTTGATATAGTGCGTGCTCATGCTTGAAAGGGTTTAGAATCTAACGTTAGCGTGTCCTTGTCCTCATAGAGAGATTTTGACAAGAAAGATCCTAGTAATTTTTTTTAAAACCCCTCACCTGGCAAGGTCGATAACTTTAAATTGATTTTCACAGACAGCAGGCAGCGACACCTTCTCTTTTTTCGTTTAACTTTCAAGACACACCTTCGCGCCATGGCCAGCAACAATCCTTTTCCACAAAACTTGCAACAACTACCGATAATGATTCAACAGTATCACAAACAAGCAGAAATGCTGACCAACAACATTGCCAGCCTACGACAAAATCTTGAGCGAACGGATCTGTCTGCCGAAGAAAAGAATCAAATTAAACACCAAGAACAAGAAATGCAATCCAAACTCGCCGTTTTCCAGACGTTTCTGAACAATCTGACACCCAGACTTACGTCTGCACAACAACAAATGGTCATGCAACAACTTGCTGTGAATCAAAACATTGAATCAATACCACAACAACATTTACCGCAATCTGCGCCAGGATCGCCTGGATTCCCGCAGCAACCATTCAATATTCAACAAATCGGTAAACATTTATTTCGAATGGAAAAAAAGAACTTATTTTTATGCTGCTTTATTTTTTATGAAAAGAGAAGCGATTGGGGTTTTTTATGGTTGTGCTGACAGCAAAGACACGCGTGTGTTTTGGGTTATATAAAAAGTAGCAGCACAGCAACACCAAATGATGGCCATGGCAGCAGGTTCACCGCCGCAGCCAATTTCTTCTGCAACTACTGCTACTACTGCAACATCTTCATCTCGTCCACCTATATCCACCACACCTCTCGCGTCGCTGGCCCCTTCAAAACAAGGCACACCTGTCGCTACACCTACGAAAGGCATGTTTACGTTCCCTTCAATGTCAGGTCCGCCAGCTTCTGCGAATTCAGCGATGGCACAAAAACCAATGGCACCTGTGCCCGACTTGGACACGGGTGGACGCATACTCGGCAAACGAAAGATACAGGAGCTTGTGGGGCAGATTGATCCATCAGAACGGTTGGAGCCCGAGGTGGAAGACGTAAGTTTATTTCTTTTCGAAAACCAGTACTACTACTACTACTACTATGGGATTTTCAAAAAAAAAAAGTGATAAGAGAGAAGGAGGGAGTAGGTTACTATATTACGTTTAACTGATTATCTTGTAGATTCTGTTGGAGATTGCAGATGAGTTTATTGAGTCGGTAACAAAGTTTGCTTGTCGTTTGGCCAAGCATCGCAAATCCGATACACTGGAAGTCAAAGACCTTCAGTTGCATTTAGGTATGACGAAAACTCCACGCAGGATTGGGGGGAGGAGGAGTTATCTGATTATTTCAATTTTACATATACTCACCGATTCATATGTGTGCAGAACGGAACTGGAACGTCCGTATACCCGGATTTGCAGCAGATGAGATTCGTTCTTTACGAAAACCAGTCATTCCATCCAGTCATCAAAGCAAAGTGCAAGCAGTCAATGCAGCAAAAGCACAAGGCGCATCAAGTCATGCTAAAAAGGATAATAACTGAACTGCCATCTGTTGTGTGGCAGAAATGATCAATAAATGACCTTTACGTTCACTGCATGTAATAATTAGAATCTACGAGAGTAAAATGATACAAAGTGGTAAGGGAGAGGGAGGTTGTACATTATTAAATACTGCTACTACTACATGGGAAGTTTTCCCTCAAGGGTGTCTAGACTAGACTCTATTCAGTATTGACTACTTTTGCGTCGCTCGGATAAGACTCGTCCACTTCATTCACAGCAGCATCGTGGATGCCTCCAAAAGCTTCATCGATTTCTTCAAGGGATTTCTGGCTTGTTTTGTCAATAAAAAGGTAGATTGAAATAAATTTGCGGTTAAGTAGGAAGCTTATATAACGTTTTGCTATTTCTGCTTACCGAGTACAAATGCAAGAACACAGAAAGCCCTGTAAAAGATTGAAGTGGCCCACTCAATTTTGACCAGAAGCTCGGGGGTCCAGAGGCCCACAGCAAAGTTGCAAAGCCAATTGGAGGAGGCGGCCAGCGACAATTCTTTGGCGCGAGCACGCAGAAGATTTCGGCGGGATCGATTATGTTTGGTGATGGTAGGCGAAGAGGAGTATGATTAAGAAAATGAGGAACCTAGTGTGATAGTCTGGTGTAACAACTGACTTTATTATATTATGTGATATCCATATTCTTATAGTAGGGAAGCAAGTATTGTACCGAGTCACAAATATGACAGACAGTTCACCACTACCAATAAATTTACAAGGATGAGGATACAAATCTGGGGAATATAGGCAATAAGAGGAAACAATTGATCCATACCTAGCGTAGAGATGGACAGCGATAACAAAGACTGCTGAACAGCGAGAGATAGACTGATATACAACGAAAGACGACTGAAATACAGCGAGAGAGAGTAATACAATGTGGATGAAACTAAGTTAAGATAATAACCGTTAATTGCTTGAACTGAAGCTATTAATCCGGTGGACCCTCTAGCACCTTCACATACGGAGCAAAACCGACTTGCAACGACTTGACTGTACCGAGCCAAAGATAGAAAGGGGAAGAGAGACGTTCTTTATTGGCTTTTGATACGGACACCCCCCTCCAATCCTTACGGACACCCCCTTCTATTTTTAATCCTCATCAGGTTACACACATCCTATAAATATATACTTGTGGGGGTGTCCGCAAGGTTATGAGTATACCTAAGTGGTGTGTTCTGTTATTTGCTATACCATATAACGGGAGAGCCATAAATCAAAGTGATGTAAAATATAATGTTCCTTTAAGGTATTGAGTAAATCTTATCAACATCGCTGTTTAACACATGCCAGAATATATCAAATAACAATGAAATGTAGAGAGTGGTGTTCGAGAAGAGAGGGAATTACTGCACAGGAAGTAGTAGAATGATTAAGCTAGTGTAAAGGGTCCAGCACGCACTGTCTTTTCGTCTTCACGCTTTTTTATCTGCGGATAACGCCACTTTGTTTTACGCAGGTTATCAATATTACCCATTGATCGGTATGCCTTTATACACATCGAGTTGATGATCGGCCAGTCCATCTTGATAATGCGTCCTTTTGTATCATGGTAGCCCAATGATTGTTATTGAGATGCTGCATAATGATGGGGAGAGGATTCTTGTTGTCGGACGATGGACCTTGCATTGGCAAAATTAGAGATGGCTCATAAGCGTATTCGTCAGAGTATGGCTTTTTCTTATCATTGTCTGGATAAATTGCAAGAGGTCGTTGATAAGTGTCTGCAGCGATCTGTGCAAAGTCAGGCGCAAGGAACCAATAATCCGATGGGCACGATTCCGGGGGTCGTGGAGCATCAAGTGCGTAAGATAGTGATGTTTCAATGCGCTGTAAGTTTTCACGCATAAATATATAGTGCTGCTGATATATATCCTTGTTTATCTTGAAGCACTCCAGCATTTGTAGCTTGACCAACATAAAAGCCTCTTGATTGCCGTGTACATGATGTGCAATTGTGCGGAAGCCACAGAAGCCATCAGACATAATGTCGACAGTTGTTTCAATGAACTTGCGAGGGATGGTTGGATGAACGAAGAACTTCAGCTTGGGTACAAAATCTTTTTTGGATCTACAATAGTGTAAATGGTTTATCAACTTAGTTTGGCTACAAAAAATCGTGATAGCTGCAATTATTGGTTAGCTAGAATTCCATCAGAAGAGCACGTACCTTTTGTTCGTGCTTTCAAGGAAGTTCATCTCCGGATCCTTTCTTTTCCCTTGTTGAGGAAAAATGTAGATGTTATCATCCTCAGTGTTGCTGCCTTCGGAGAGTTCCTCTGACTCGTTGGCATTTCTATTTTGAAAGCGTTGCTGGCTATCCTTTTCATCGGGTTCAAACTTTGACGGTAATCGTGCATTTCTGTGTTAGCAGGGCGTCCTTTCGTCTTCACATTGCTTGGTAATTCGATGTCGCTAATGTCGATACTCATTGTATATTCGTCGATAGTCCCATCGTTACTACTAAGTAAATCGGATTTTTGCTGATCCGACCGCATATTGTAGAGTACATCATGCAGCTTCTGTAGTACCATGTTCTGTTGCTCTAATACAATTGCTTCAGGAGTATACACCTTTTGGAAGCTATCTGTGGATAAATAACTCTCATATTAGGATATGAAGTTATTACAGGCGCATAGTATAATCACAGTACTACTATAGCAGAAAATTATACCTCTGTCATATTCCAAACGCCATCGATGAGGGATATCCGACAAGCTTATACTGAACCCTTTTCGTGTGATATTATGTTGACACGGCAGTCCATAGTTTAGCGTGGTACCACACCAGCAGTCGCTTGAGTCAAGTTGATATTTATCGCAGTTATCCCAAGCTCGTTTGAGCTCCCTTCGGAGTCGATTCAAAGCAAAGAACGAAATAGTGCTAAAGAGCTCTTGCATCGCAGCCGATTCACGCTTTCCATACGATGGCATTTTATGTCTCTCTTGCAAAAACTGAGTCTCTTCATCAGCCAACTAGTACAAAATTCTGATTAGCATATCCGCTAACACATTATCTTTTCAATCCGAAAACAAAGGATGTAGTTCATACCGATTTACGCATGACACGATCAATTGCTTTGACCGTTTTAAACAAGCTTCCGGTGGTTTGCATTGTAACTTTGATGCGCCAGTGTGTTCCTTCAACACGCGATGATACCCTCATTCCCATGTTTAAAAGTCTTCCGGCATAATAAGCACCCCATTTCTCCTTATATTCAAGGCAGCTATATAATATAATAAAGCTGGTAAGCACAACTCGGCAAAAGCTCCAGTCAAATATTGGATAAACCCTTTGAGATAGTCCATCATTTTCTCTTTCTTTTTGTTTGCCAGCAAACGTATTGCAGACGTTGCATCATCTTCAGTATCTCTGTCGTTCTCGCTATTGCTGCTGTTGTCATGATGCTTTGCTTTGGACTTTCTTTTCTTGTGCTTTTTGTTGGATCGCTTATGGTTTTCGTTGGCATACGCATGAGCACCTTTTTCTATCAGACACTTATAAGCGTCAATGGCAGCCTGGAAAGTCGCTTCGTTTTTTTTGCCAACATAAACCATTTGCTTAATGATAGCTTTGGCTTCGCCTATCTCTTCGCTGTTCGGTGGAAAGCAAGTACTGAAAATGCTACGTAAATGCTGCTCCATATGCCACCCGCAAAGTATATGCTCTGCATCTTTGAAAGTTGACTCGATGGCGTTAATTAAAGCTCTTTCGTTGTCCGTAATGAAGATGCGTACGTTTCCTTCTGGCCATACGACTTGTCGCATAGTCCGAAGGAGCCAGGTGTACGAATCTTCTTTCTCGTTCACCAAGAAAGCAGAGGCAATAAGCACGTTCTTGAGCTTTGATGCACCGAGATGACTGACACCAACAACGTTGACAAGAGGCATATTGGTTCTGCTCGTTTGTACGTCGCATCGATAGCAATGATCTCGTTGAATAGTCGTGCTTTTGCTATACTCGTTTCATGGGTAAAAAAGAGGGCGTCGAGACTTTTACCTGTGCCGTCTAGCTTATATCTAGTGATATAGTTGTTACCAATGAGGAACTCGAATATCCTACTGAAGCCGCCATGATTATCCTCACGGAATATTTGCGCACGAAAATTGTATAGATCCCTCATGGTCATAATTGCGCCGTCTCCGTGGTTCTGGACTTCTCGATGTATCATGAGGGGCCTGACGGAATTATCTGTCAATGATAATATTTGCTGCTCGACGTGGAGAGTTGGCGTGCGGTGTTGGTGGTAATACTGAGGAGGCTTGTCGAGGGAGTGGTTGTGCTCATGGGCGTTGCTGACCTTCGTTACTTTCCAGTGCTTATCCATCTCGCACCACCTTAAGTTCATGGTCCATTGGCAGCCGGTCGTTTTCGTCGCTGTTTGGCGTCCCCGCGTTTCTTCAGTTACTGCATATGTATTGCGATAGCTTCCACCATGTACGCACTGGATCACGATTTTTACGTTTTTCTCACTTCGTTTAGTTGAAACCGCAAAGTTGTCTCCTCTGGCTTGCTCGTTGATTGCTTTCACAATTTGCTTATTTGATCCGGTATAAGTGGTGTCAATCAATTGCTCCATAGTGTTGGGATAGTAGGATGATAAACGTAGGTAGAAAGTTGAAGATATAATATCATAGTATACTGTTTATTGAGGAGCATTTATATACTTTTTATAAACTACTGCACATAAACACATCCGTAGAGACACCCTAGAGAGTTTGAAAAGCATTAAGGAATGTTTTTCATGTACGTTTTATGGTTCCTTTTTGTTATATATCGAAAGATGTATAATAACAATAACAGATGAACAAATCAAGTGAACACATCCTTGCGGACACCCCCACAAGTATATATTTATAGGATGTGTGTAACCTGATGAGGATTAAAAATAGAAGGGGGTGTCCGTAAGGATCAGAGGGGGGTGCCCGTATCAAAAGCCTTCTTTATTATGATGCATCATGGGTATAACTAAATAGTATGCAATG